AAAGAAAGAAAGAAAGAAAGAAAGAAAGAAAGAAAGAAAGAAAGAAACTGTAACAACACAAAAAGATGTAGAATTTTGATCATAAAATCACAGCAACCATTTTGGTGTTTTTGAACCTCCCAGATATCCATCTACTGTAGGATGAAACTGTTGTCTTACCCTTAATCTTCTTTTCAACACACTTCCTTGGGATCTCCACCTGTAAAATTTCTGTAAAAAGTTTTATTCTTTTGTTAACTCCCTTTCCCCCATTTTCTTTTGGGGACTTTCTTGGTGAGAGGATCCTGGATCTCTACCCTATATTCTTATCTTGAGTAGAGGAAGTTTTTGCTCATTCATAATTAGCACCATTCACAAGAAGTGGGAAACGTGCTATGATCAGAATGCTGTGCTTGTTTTTGATGTATACACAAGCATTTCTCACATGAAATGAAATCCCCATAATCATATAAGTAATAACCAGAGATAATAATATGCCACTTTGACAAGGTGCATTAATCTGTGTATCCTCCCTTGAGTAAATGCAGCTAAAGTGCCTGTTAGTCTTTTATCTTACTGATGCAGTCTGTTGGACTCAGAAAATAATTAAGTCAATGTGATTAGGTACCTGGGATAATTTGTGGGTAACAGAAAAAAAAAATGCTTGTGGCACCTAACAACTCTGCTAATAATAGGTTCCATCAATGGATAAATTTACCTCATGTGTAATCAAAATTTTAGTCCACATACTGTCCACAATTTGGTATATTCCAGATGGAATGCTAATTTTACCAGAATTCTCAACCAATACCGCTATTGGGAATCAAAACATCTGAAAAATGCCATGTTGGGAAAGACTATGGCAACTGTCCAACATGTCAAGAAGTTGTTCTCAAACAAGACATTGTATCACAAGGGTTACAACTGGGATGCCATATATACAATGCAAAGATTTCAAACTCTTTCCACCATTGAGTATACACCTTCCCCAGCATGCCAGATCAATAAGATGATGCAATGACTAGGAGTGCTAATGTCTGAAGTATATACTATTTAAAGTTTAGTTAGAAATAATTTTTTGGTTTCTAGTTACATTACACATTGCAAGAATGCAGTCTTGCCACAGAAAAGAAGCACAGTTTTTAGAAAGTCATTTAATTTAGAGACCTATATCGTCTATTTTTGAAACAGAAGTTCTATCATCCATTGTTTTACTCCACTGAATATATCTGTTGTCAAACACCACAAGTCATTTTTTTCTTAAATGTCACTCCATCAACTTGTTTGATGAGGCATCAAAAGAGGATTAAATTTTTACTAAATTACTAAAAATGGACATAATTAACAGGATATATATATTTACTAAATATTAGCAACTGGGTGTATATTGCAGATATGCACAAGGAAAACCATGACCTTTGAGGATATATGGTGTAATTGATTTCTTTTTTGAGAATTTAATTTGTGAAATAATGTCACAGGATTCCTTTCCAAAAATTGCAATGTTCCTGGTGCTTGACTAAAAACCATAAATCTGGGTTTTCTCTCTTAAGGTAAGAGTAGAAGGAGCAATGGCAAAAAAAATGGGAGAATTGTAAATAATATACAACAATTTGTGCTTGAGATACATCATTAAGCTGATCTGCGCCTTTTACAGATTGGTCCCCAAAGATGATAGCAAAGATGTGACCAGCAGTGACATGGACAAGATGTATGCATTCAGGGCAGAGATTTCATGGGTTCCTACAGTGTGTATGTGTGTGTATAAGAGTCAATGTGTGTGTGTGTGTGTGTGTATCAAAAGTCAGGATAGCAGCCACACAATTAAAAGCCCCATTCCGCTTTACATGTATTTCATCTGCAAGGATCAACAAAGGTTGATCAAGTACAGTAGTCACAATAGACACCTTGATTTCTTTAAACTGTCTTATGGATGACCCTGGAAGGATGGGAGAACACTTGCAAGCATTTTTCCTTTTACTGAAAGGTTTTAAAATGGGAATGGAGAGAGGAAAATTGTTGTAAGGTAAACTGCTTTTACTTCCAATGTAAACATCCCAAATGATTTCAAAGCGGGTTACATATGCCAAGAAAATTTGAACGCAAAAATGGGCGAATTTCTGCTGTATAATTTCAGATTCAGGGCATCTGGAGTGGGCTTAATCTTTGCCTTCCACCCTCTTTCCCACTGTTTTTGTTGAAAAAAGACATTACAAAGCTCAAAAAGGACATTACAAAGATGAAAAATAGCCATTTTGCCACCAAATTTTCACAGAATGATCTCAGAATGTTGGGGAGATATAAGACATGTAAATCTGGGGTTGACCCACCACCACCTTAAAAACAAAGGTGTTTTGCCTGAAAGCTCGCAAAACATGGAGAAAGCACTAAGGGAGATATAGTTCATAAGTAACTCTTCCTTTTTAATAATCCCCAAAGGAGTAAGTATTGAAACAGAACTGTCTACGAGCAATGGTGGAGTCCTAGTAGAGAACTGACCAAATAGTGAGGGTACTTAACTGTAGCCACCCATTCCATGAAGAGTTATTTTCAGTACATAAATAAAATAGGGACATGTTTACCTGATTTCAGGTGTTGGTATTCCTACTACAATGCAGTCCAACTGCACTTTGGTTCCTTCAGAGACCTCTCTGCTTTTCAGTTTTTGGGTAAAATGTGGCGGTTGACCTATTGGCTCCTCGGAATAAAAAGGTGCAGCTGATGTCTCTATGCTTAATTCTGGATTTTCTAATGTATGGACCGCTTCCACATCTGCCTGTTGAGGATAAGCTGGGTTTTCCAGTGATGGCTCAATTTGATCTGACTCTTGAGATATTGGGACACAAGGCCTTTCCCTGTTTTCAGATAAATTGTCTTGGTTGGCCTTGTGTTTGCTCCTGTAGTTTTTGCATGTCTTGGGTCTGATTCTTTTTGAACTGTGTGCTTTGAAAAGAGAAGAAAGCTCCTCAATAAAATTGGCAGCCTTGTCGAGCAACTCTTTCTTTGATTCTGTCTCTGATCCAAATGGCTGCTTCTTCGGATGGTTGCCTGAAGTTGGTAAAGCTGTAGGATGGCACTTCTGCTTGTTTGAAATAATATTTTCAGAGTTTTTCAACTCGGAGGGTAAGAACACGTGGACCTGCTGTTCTTCTTCTTGGCTGTTCTCAGGTGGCTCTTGATTGATAGCTTGTCTGGCCAAATTGACACTCTCATCTAGCTCTTCTTGGCTCAAAAAGGCAGAAAGATCTGGAAGTTCATCCTGGCCAGTTACCTCATCAGAAGACCTGGAGGTACTCCCAGAATGGACAGAATGCAGAGAAGATTCTGATCTACTCCTTTCACTATTACCTTGATGGTTGTTTTCAGCTAAATAACTCTCTCTCAGAAGTTGAGTTATTGAAGTTGAAGATTCAGAAGTATTGTCTTGCATGCTGTTAACAAAGAGTACAAATAGGACCATAACCTCATAAAATACATAATTTTCTAATACTGAGTTAAAGAAATTGAACCAGAGGTGTTTTTACTGTTGACTTCCCCAACCTAGAACTTTACAGAGGTGTACTGCAGCTTTCCCCAACCAACAGTTTTTAACACTTTCCCCTCGAGAATTAAGATATATCCAACAATCAGGCTGAGGAAACTGTTCTACTGGAATTGATCAACAGATACTGTATATAATTCCTCTTTTGCTCCAGGTTTAATTGTGATCTGATATGGCTAGCATCTCTATTATTTGGAAGTACTCTAACTTTCTTAAAGACTTAAGGTAAATTTTGCTGCACAAAGTGGTATTCTCAACCACTCTCTATTAGAATTTGTCCCATTTACTCATTCTTTTACTTTATCCAGCTTCATCCTTCATCCATCTAATCCTGTATTGTATGCTTGGAGTTATTATACCTCATAAAGAGGCATTTATTTGTCCTACATCTGATATTCTTTTAAACTGACAGCTGGGCTTGATTTACTGTATGTATAATAATAATATTATGCCCTCCCAAATTAAGATTGTGCTGTAACCATATGACCAATCCTAGCAGCGTTCATACTTGAATGCATATATATCATGCAAATATCTTTTTATAAACAGATGCTCATAATCAAAAAGATGTAGCTGGAATTCAGTATTTGCCATGCCTTGATGATGGTTTGATGGGGATGAGAAATTCTAGAAAAGTTACCCAGGAATTGGTTGATCATCCCTGCTTTTATAAGAAGATCTGAAATCCCTAAACATTAGAATGCTCTTTGTCTGAAGAAATTTTCTCAATGGAACTGTGTCCTATCATCTCTTTCATTGATTTCTGTGTGACTAGTTCATTTTTCAGTATATTTTGGCTCTCACTGTATCTCAAAATTGTATATATTTGAAGTTGAGGTAGAAAATGTCAGGAAGACCTGATTTTGAATAACTATGGTCCAGTCAAGATTGGATGAATCCTGGGGAACAACACACCATTTTAGCACTGAGTTGTATTTCCAGAGTTGAAATGAGATGTCTTATGCTACTTAAGGGATCCTGCAGAGACTGTGAAGCACACATAGCTCAGTTCACTCCTGCTCATCAACACAGGCTGTTCCTGGTGACCTCTTCACCGTATCTAATCTCAGGGTGAACAGTGGATAACTCCACACTCAGCACTGACATATAAGGACACTGCTTAACTTAGTCACAGAAGTCAGTTAAATTAGTTACTGATTTTGGGCAAACAGATATACCTCTGTTTAAGATAGAGTTGGCACCAGGCGTCACTTGAGTTTTTGCCATAATTTGCAGCTGGAGATGTAACTATTATATGTAACCATTTGTCTTAAACAGTTAATTTTCTGCATTTTTTAGAAATGTTTACTTTGTTGCTCTCATGACCATATTCTTTGATGAAACTGATGTAGCATAGTTAAAATTTGTGCACAGAGGCCCAAATGTGTACAGAACAGAGACTATGATGTTTTCAAAGATACTTATGGAGAGGCGTGAAAAAAAGGCAGGATGGTGGATATAACTCATATGATTGGAAACACATGTAAAAAAGGGCAGGATTTTTTGATCACACGATGATAGCCACCATCTTGCCTATTTTTGACCCTTTCCCTGATGCTACTCCTTGATGTTTCTCAATAAACCAACATTAAAGTACCACTGCCCATTTCCAGTCAAAATCTGGAAATTTTCCTAAAGCCATTTCTGCCATTTCTTCAAGCAAAACCACAATTACCAGAACCTCACCTCATTTACTAGACACCTTTGACCTGGGATGATACGGCCAGTTATTTTCATGGAAAGCAAGAAACAGTTTGGACACATGGGATACAAGAAGACAAAAGGATTCCCTTAGGTGAAGCTTGAATCGAATGCATGGAAACCATCAAGGATGGTGGGGGTCTCTTTTTCAGAAGTATGTTTTTCAATTTCTCAGTCTATGCTCCCAGACCTGCAGCTCCCTTATGGTCATATCTGTGACTTGTCTCTCCTTGCTTAGCTTTTAAACCTAGTCCAGGTCATTGGCCAGGTGCCACATCAGCTAACCTTGGAAAATGGGGGAAAAGGTCACAAGTGCGATAGGCAAATTTTTCATAAATAACAGCAAGCATAGCTGACCTGATAATTGTTAAAAAAGCAAACAATAAAAGTTAGGATTCACCTAAGAGAGGTGAAAATCTGCTCTGTTTTAATTATGAAAGCTCAAATCAAATCAAATAATTTATTACAGATCAATGATCCAGGCTAAACAAGGCTTGTTAAATAAACTTACAGAATAGAGTTATAAAATAGAACATAAAAATAAAATCAGGCATACAGGATGAAAAATGTATTGTACGGTCATGTTTGCCCTATCTTGTTATCAGCACTATTCAAGCTATGAAAATAAAATTTGCAAGAGTCATCTTGTGGTCTTTATGCATTAATAAAAAATGAGCATAAAAGTGAAAGTGAGGTTAGGGGAGGCATTAGTAGCTCTTTACATACAGTATATCTTGATAGAGGTTACAGTGCTGAAAAATATAGTTTGTTTTTAAACCTTACTACAGGTAGTCTTGACTTACAAATTACAGTTGAGACCAGAATTTCTGTTGCTAAGCAAGGTGATTGTTAAGTGATTTGTGTCCAATTTTACAAACTTTTTTGCCACAGTTAAACAAATCACTGCAGTTATCAAGTGAATCATATAGTCGTTAAACGAAGGCTTCCACCGTTGTCTTTGCTTTTTGGAAGCTGACTAGGAAGGTTCCCAAAGGTGATCATATGAGATGCTGCAACTATTGTAAATATATGCTGGTTGCCAAGTGAGCAAATTTTGATCACATGACCATTGGGATACTGTGATGGTTATAAGAGTGAGGATTGGTTGTAGGTCATATTTTTCAGTGCTTTGGTAGCTTTGAACAGTCGCTAAACAAATTGTTATAAGTTGAGGATTACCCATAACTTTACAACCGCAGTGTCAGGGATCCGGCAGTTACTCCAGTTAAATCATGAGCCTTGAGCCACACTCCCAAAACATTTTGTATACACGTTTTATAGTTGACAAGCAGAGCCTTCATGCATATGGAATTTTCCACAATTTTACAAAATAATGTGGCTGTCAACAGTTATTGTTGAAAGTTGGTTAGAATCTAGACCTCTGCACTGCTATAGTCCAATTGTACCCTTGATGAGAGTTTATTGTATTCTGTTTGTAATTCTCTATAAAGATCCCCTCACATCCCGGAAATAAATTGTTTCAACTCCTTTCCTCAAAACGACGCTATAGAGCACTACACACTAGAACAACTAGACACAAGGACATTTTTTCCCCAAACACCATCACTCTGCTAAACAAATAATTCCCTCAACACTGTCCAACTATTATAAAGTCTGCACTACTATTACAGCTAATCTTCTCATTATTCCTGATCACCCATCCCCTCCCACTTGTGACTGTATGACTGTAACGTTGTTGCTTGTATCCTAAAGTTTAACATTGACTGTTTCCTAGTATGATTTGATTGCTTATTGTACTCTATGACTATTATTAAGTGTTCTACTTTATGATTCTTGACAAATGTATCTTTTCTTTTATGTATACTGAGAGTATTTGCACCAAGACAAATTCCTTGTGTGTCCAATCACACTTGGCCAATAAAGAATTCTATTCTATTCTATTCTATTCTATTCTATTCTATTCTATTCTAAACAACCATCCATTCTAATGATGAAACTGATAATTATGAATACATTTATGCATTCTAGAATTTATACAGTAACAGTTTGAAAAATGTAAGATTATAAATGAATTTAGAAAGTGATGGTTCACATTTGATATAACTTTAATTTGTGCTTAATCACTACAGTGAAATTGATCCTTCACATAGAATATTTTTTATTGGTTAAGTGTGATTGGACACACAAGGAATTTGTCTTGGTGTAAATACTCTCAGTATATATAAAGAAATTTGTTAACATTTGTTAAGAATCAAGAATCATAACGTACAACAGTTAATGATAGTCGTAGGGTACAATCAACTATCAAATCATACTAGGAAACAGTCAATATAAATTGTAAGGACACAAGCGACAAAGTTACAGTCCTACAGTCACAATCACATTAAATAGATATATCTGATATCGAGTAAAATTTGATTCTATTCTATTCTATTTCTATTCTACCTACAGTAGAACATAGAATAATAATTACAATTACCTGTGAGTAATAAATAAAATTCAACCATTCTCACTAATCAAAGCTTGCGTTATTGAGATGAAAGTTTGACTAGGTAGATAAATGTAAATATCTCAAGAACTGTTAACTCATTCAATCATAAATGGCTTCTATAACTCTGCCAACCTTCCAAGGACTTTTCTATAGAGCAAGCCATTACAAATCCTTTTCACTCGTATCTCTACAACCCTTATTTGACTTGACCCCGCATGCGAACAGTGGGTGTAGATTTAGAAAAACTCTCCTTCAAGTTAACCAGAAAGCATGGCTGGCTGGGGAATTCTTGGAGTTGAATTCCACACATCTTAATGTTGCTAAAGTTGACAAACACTGAGCTTACGTCTCCATCCTCCCCTTGGTGCATGAGCATTTGTGATGGGAAACAGAAGAGTTGAACATAAACACCAGTTCTCTCCTCTATTTAGGATGCCTGGTGGGCAAACATTCTGCAACCATAATGGCTTAGCACCTGCACTGAATAAAAGCTCAGGAGCCTGGGAACATAGCGAGGGAAGGATTCCTAGGAGCACGAAACCACCCGCCCCCAGATCTGTGCATCAGAGCTGGCAATGAGCCAGATGTAAGTCAGCTGAGCTATTCTACCGTGATTTGTCTGGGATTGTGGGTCATACCATCAATCTGAATCAAAGCCAATGCCTACATTTGAGAAGTAAGGCTATAAAAGACGAGGGTTCTAGCTATTCTTTTTACTACTAAAGCATATCCAGAAA